TCGCGTGGGTCAGCCACTCATCGCGTGGGTCAGCCGCTCTGCGGTAACTGCCTGCGCCCGTGATTTTACCCCCCGGTAGATGAAAGCCAGCCCACGAAGGCGACCGTGATCTGGCTTTCATTTGCTGCAAAGTGAGAGCGTGTACACAAGCGGTTACCACGAAGCAGCTGACGCCCTTTAAATCCCTGATCTGCTTCGCCGTGCAGCACCCCTGTTCGTGTGTCCGGGTTGGCCGTTTTGCTGCAAGTGGCTCTGCCACGCAGCGAACTTCTCATTCTGCGACACTGTTTGCAGAGCTGCTTGGCCCTTTCTACATCTAGTTTGTGAGCAACCACAACAGCAGAACCGCTGCTTGAGGCCCTGCAAGGCTGGAGTCAGAGCAAGTCATCCCATACCCCCGTAAGATGGCAGGGCCCAGGCCTAGCCTTTGTCTGGGGCCCCCATGAAACGAAAGCCACCCCTTTGCACACACCCACCGTGGCACGGGGAGCAGCCCTGCACACTTTGCTGCGGGAAGTGGGTCTGAGGGGGCCCTTGCTATGCATCCTTTATTAAGTTTGGGGGGTTCATTAAATCTCCTCTCCCTCCCGTGCTGCGGATGGACTCGATAACCGAGGCCGCTGCCCATTGCGTGTGCACTTTTTGTTGGGGTCCTTGTTCTGCTCCCGGAAACTCAGCCACCTCCCCACAACCCACATGGCCACCTAAAGAGGAAAGGTTTGGGTCTTCCACAACAGTCATTCATTTCTCCTCTGAGAGCCTGTAACAGCCCTGTAGCCAGGGCCGAGCCTGGTAGGAATGTAAATGCAACCTGCACTTCACCTCCGGAGCAAACAGTAAGTCATCAGGCTGCGACGGGAATCTGATGTTCATCAAATACTGATTCTGATTATTAATGCCAGGTGCATTAGTAATGCAAGCCCCAGGGACGGCTCTCCCAGGCTCTCCCCTCTCCTTCCAAGGAGCTTGGATCATGCAGCTAATATGCGGCTTTGCCAGGGCACTAGTTACTGGCTGGGAGCTCAGATCAGGCCATTACGGCCTGGGAAAGTGCCTGCACGCTGCGCTTCCCTGCTATTTATAGTGGAACAAATTCGAGTTCACGCTTCCCTTTTTCTGCTCTCTGATGCAATGAAAGAACCAATGCAAAGGGCTCGCGGTTGCGTACGAGACCTCCCTGGGAGAGGCTCAAGCTGTGCTCTTTCAGAGCACCCAGAACCCGGTTTTCATCAATTTGCCGTCCAGCTGAGCGTATCATTTGCACACCTCATTCACAAGCAGACACGTCCATCATCAACTCGCCCTCTGCAAAGATCCAGAATGTGAGCACCCTTGGACAAGTGAGCAAATGAAGAGCAAGACTACACGGCCGTCCGGAAGGATTTCCCCGAGCTGTCGCTATCTGGCCTTTCCGCTCGATTATCACACGCCTCTGTACTGCAGTCAGCACAGGATGCAGATCTGCTCGGCCTCCATTTGTAAAGAAACAAGTGCGGTGCTCCCAGCTCTCACGACTTGGGCGTTGTTCTTCAAGTCCATGCTTCGGGAAGGTGAAAAACTTGGCTCTTTCTATTATATATTTTTATAATTAGCGCTGGTTTTTTGCAAAGATCTTGTTGGTCTAATAAAAGATATCATCTCTACCACGAGCCCTGACTGCCTTTTCCTCTAGATCAATACGGCCACAACCCGGATACCTAATTAGCGCTGTTGCATTCATGATTCTTAAAGTCTTATATATAGTCTTAATATATATAATAAAGTCTTAATATATATGTACACACACATTAATATACTTATTCTTATTATACGACTTGTATATCTATACCTATATCTACCTATCTATACATAGATATCTACCTATCTATACATACATATATCTATTTATATCGATATATCTATAGATATCTATCTATCTATCTATATTGATATATCTATAGATAGTTAGATATATCTAGAAATATCTATCTCTATAGATATATCGATATATCTATAGATAGATATTGACATATCTATAGAGGTAGATCTCTCTCTCTGTAGCTATATAGATAGATATATCTATAGATAGTTAGATATATCTAGAAATATCTATCTCTATAGATATATCAATATCTATCTATAGATATATCGATATATCTATAGAGGTAGATCTCTCTCTCTCTCTGTAGCTATATAGATAGATATATCTATAGAGAGAGATACCTCTCTCTCTCTATAGATATATCACTATATCTATAGATATAGATATATCTATAGAGATATATATATATATATATATCTCTATAGATAGATATCTATCTATAGAGAGAGATGTATCTCTATCTCTACATATCTACATAGATATATAGAGATAGAGATCTATCTATATAGATATGTAGAGAGATAGAGATATACATAGACAGACAGATATATATAGAGAGAGATAAAATAAAGAGGTAAGGTTTTCACATTCCCGAAGCTCAGATTTTAAGAACAACACCTCAAATCATGAGAGTTGTGCAACACTGCAAGCGTCACAACCACACAGCCCTACCCAACCCACAGCCATGGGCTCAATCTAAAGAAAGAGAGGGGCACCCAACTCCCCTGTCAATCCGGGCCTCCGTCCCTTTTGCACGTCGCATTTAAAGAAACCTGCTGCATGCAGTGATGGACATCTAAAATCCAGAGAGGACGCCTCTCCTGCCCGCTCCCAGGTAAGGTTTCAAGACACAGAAGCCTTGTTTGCTAACTGGATTCCTCTGCCTTCCTCTCCCGCGCTGTGTGATGCTGTGCCACCAAAAGCAACCTTTGTTGTTTTTCTAAATTCATTCCCTAAGGCCCTCGCCCTGTAACTGGAGCTCTGCAGATGAATTCACGCATTGACACAGAGCCTCATTGATTTGGAGGCCTTAATCCCTTGATCTGGGGCCAGAGAGATGGAAAGCAGGTATGTTAAATATGCGTCTCATGACACTGGTGGCACGGGCAATGTCGACAAGGTGGAGAAAGCGCGATGTCTGTCTGGCACCAGCTAATCAGGGGTGGGTAAAGCAAAGAAACACTCCTAGCTTCACCACCGTGCAGTTACAAGAAAAGGGATTCGTGTCTGGTCCAGGAGCGGATGATGCCGTTTGCTGTGGATAGAAAGGCTCATACAGCAGCGGGTTTTTACTCAAGACTTTGCTAAGCGCTCTGCGTCTCTAAACTACGTGGCAGCACTTAAAAGCAATCCACGGTTGATCCTTAGCGTGCATTTTGAGGTGGCTGGCTTTGAGATCCTCCACATCCCAAAGAGTTTTCACCGTTTCAGCTAGGCAGAGCTCACCCTTGCTCCGCCTTGGTCAGATCCTAACCAAACGTGTGCCGTCACTATGCAAATGTGAAATAGCCCCGTAGATTGATATCTGAGTTTTCCTCGTGGGAAACTCAATCTGGGAGGTGAACGGACTTGCACAGAAGACAGCAGCGCATTGCCAGCTCTCACAACCTTATTGCTGGGTTAATATTTGAGGCTCCCTCTTAATGCCGCAGGCTCTCGAGTCATGTAAAGGCATGAAAAAGCCTGGCTTTTGGGCGTGTTTGAATTCAAAAAGTAAGTTGTAAGTGTTAGGCATGGCAGAGCAGACTTGAGCGAACTCTCAGGGTGTCGTGGAGTCGGAGAGCGAGGAGGCCAAATAAAGGCCCCACGTGCAGTATTTTGCATGAGATTAAGCCAGTGGTGATTTTAGAGGACTTGAACATTTGGGCTTTTAAATAGTTGGGGGCTGGCCGTCCTGGAATTACAGCCTGCCGTGTGTCCCGATGGACCAATACACGTATGGAGCAGCATGATGGGAGGAACGGGGCTTGGACACCGACTCCCTGCGTAGCCATGGGCATGACACTTGGCCGGCCTGGTTTTCTAGAGCAGGCACGGCCAGCCTGCAGCCCATCGCCGACAAGCAGCAGAGGCAGCCTCTCTCGATCATGGCAGACCGGGGAGCAGAAAGCAGAGCAGCAGTGGGAGCGGGTTGGGAACCGGGCCGTCAACTTCCCAGAGCTTCGCTCTTCCTCCTGTTGCGAAACCGCCTCTCCCGCCCTGTCGCCTCCTGCGCCCGCACGACCCTGCGGGAGAAGGCGGCACCGCGGGCCCGAGGGCTCCCCTCCCTCTTCCCGGCAAAACCTCACGGGGCGGGAGAGGGACAGACAGCCCCTGGCGCGGTGCGAAGCTTATTGCAACATCACCGTCCTCGCTGCGGGACCAGGGCGAGCACGCGCCCCCTCCTGGGGCGGGGGGGGGACAGGAGTCCCAGCAGGCCGTTCCCCGCCAGGTGTGAAGGAGGCCGGGCGGCGCCATGATGCGGGGGGCTCGCACAGCTCTTCCCACCGCAGACGGCGCGAGCCTGGGCTGGCAGCGGGATGCGGGACCCAGCCAGGGGTGCGGGACCCCAGCAGCTGCAAGGCCGGGGCTACGGTGCAGGCTGACCTTAGGGCTGGGGCAGAGCCCAGGGGCAGCCCCGGAGGACTCAGGGCCCGGTTGGAAGCCCAGCAGGGGCTCAGCCTGGTACTCCCCACCCCTGCCTCCCTCATTGCAGCCTCTGCCC